TAGTTATGAATTGTCTTTATACTTAAGACATATTCAGTTGTGAAAATGTTTGTTTTTTTTTGTTACTTATACTCCGTTCAACTTGTCTTCCTTTTTATTTATTTATACAATTTTAGTTGAATTGCTACTGTTGCTATGTATGATGCGGAAATGTGTTATTTTTTATTATATTAGTTAGATAGGTGGACGAGCTCACGGCCCACCTGATGTTAATCGGTTAAAGGAGCCTATATAGAAAGTAAATGCAGCAACCCAATTTGAGAAATGAGTTAGGTATAGTTTATAGCAGAAATTTAGAATATTAACTTAGAATATAATTTAAATTTAGAATAAGAAATTTGTATCAGAACGGCTGCTCCATCCTGCAAACCGATATGCATTACTGTTTCGGGTTTGATTCTTATTACACGATGTGATTACCGCGGAAGTCGCTCGTATGAACATTTGTTATGTTTATTTTTATTTTTTTATTGCCCTTGTAGGCCGACGAGCATACGGCCCACCTGATGGTGAGTGGTTACCCTCGCCCATGGACTTCAGCAATGCCAGGGGCAGAGCCAAGCCGCTGCCAACCGCTTAATACTCTCCATAAGCCTCTTTTAAAGAAGGACATGTCATAGCGCTCATAAAACACCGTGGAGGGGAGCTCATTCCATAGCCGGATGGTACTTGACAAAAAGTGCGTACTACATTACAAAAAATTGGCACCAGCTTGCGGGATTGGAATATCGGTACAGTTGCATTGCTCGATAGGTACAAGCATACCGACCGCCGTATCTTTTAGACCACGACAACTTCGAGTTATAATAAATGATCAAAGAAACTTTCTTTGTATAATTATCGATCTGTTTCGGTTTGTTTACACGATATGATTACCGTGGAAGTTGTTCGTGTGAAAATTTGTAAAGTGCATATTACATTACAAAAATTTAGTACCAGCTTGCGGGACTAGAACACCGGAAAAGTTGCATCGCTCCATATGTACAAGCATACCGACCGCCGTATCTTTTAGACCACGACAACCTCGAGTTATAATAATTGAACAAATAAACTATCTTTGTTTAATTCTTTGTATAATTATCGATGTGTTTCGGTTTGATTTATTTTAGTAAGAATACTTTATCCAAATTTCACGAAACTTCTTGATATCTTTTCAATTCAGATTTTATTTATACCTACTACTGCTCTTCTCGTCATCGACATTCGGCTGTAATCACTAACGCCTAAAGATATATTCATAGTCTTGTTACATTCTCTATCTAGTTTTGTTATTGTGAAAAAAAGACGACGGCTCTCAAATTTAAATTGAAATTCGTCAACAAACGAATAGAAAAAAATTGGTTGAGAAAAATAGAGCAGAAAATAGCAACTACTCAATACCTTTTTTTAATATACTTCTTGAATTATTTTATTTACCTATAGCACTAAAGCTATTGCCAAGCTAGGTACTACTAAATTAGAGAAAATTTTAAAATTAGTTGATAAACAATGGAGAAAATAGTACACGAAAGTCTATTTATACATAGGTAAAAGCTATCCGTAGAGTGGATATTGCCACCAGAGCTTTGCTGAATTGCGTAATGGCAGATCCACTCTTCCGGTTGCAATGCATGACTGTGTTCCACGGAAATAGACAGTATCAGGGAACCTAACGGCGCGGACTGACACCACCACTTACCAACAGTAATAGATGTTACGAATTCAATTCGATAATGATATGAATTTTTACAATGTGTGCTTGTTCGTGAACAAATAGGTACCATTTACGTGTTTACTTGCGAAAATCGGTAGGTACTTGCACAAAGATATCGAATCCATGTCGAATCGGTGTGTATAAATAGTCAAAGATAAAACTGTTCGCTATGTATCTTTTCCTCTTGAATTTGTCAAACAATTTCAATTGAATATAAAAGGAAAAATTAAATAATCTAGGTTTTGAGGAATCAGTAGCTACGATCGAATTTTGATGATTGGGCGGACAATATTGTTTTTTTTAAGGAACGGGCTTAAATTTTCGAATCCTTTCTACAAATGGATTGTAGGTAAATAAGTTGCTAGAATCGTATTTAAGCAATTATGTTGCTACTTAAAAAAAAAAACTATTTATACAATGAATTAATTTTAAATAATCATTTAACCGCCTAAACAAGTATAGGCGTCTTTTTACGACTTGTGCTGCTAGTCTGTTCAGAGTAGTTTATGGGAGAGATTTTTATTTTTGTAAAAAGACTTTACGAATTAAACTTAAACAAGATCGATAATCAGGTCTTACGCATAGGAGGTCAAGTCTCACCGAGTCTCTTTGTGATTTGTACCGTATGTTCCTTGCAGAGTGCTCTATAGGTACCTATAGCTTTTTCCTTTTTTTATTGTGACACATGATATCGATGCGTTCATCCCTACTACTGCTATTTAGCTACCTAGAAACGCTGCGTTCTTCAAGATTGGTTCGCGACAATCATTTTAAGACGCGTTACCTAAAATCAACTCCCTTCTGCTGTGTTTTACATATCTGTCATCAAATGTATTACAAAACGTTTTCTTCTCGTCAGGTAGCGATTTCGCTTTGCCTGAGTATACAGTCTTCAGTGTTTATGGGAGACGGAAACCACTTAGCATCAGGCCCTGATGAGTTTGTCATTTTTGGTAACAAAAGTAAGACTATCTGATTTGTTATTATTAGATTGTTTTAGATAATTCAATTCGATTATTTAATTGATCGTAACTTGCAAATATAATCGGGAGGAATTAAAATTAAAACAAAATAAACATTCGAAACGAGCTCCCGTTTTCCCCTTCCTAATCTTTAGTAGCCTAAGGGGCTATTCCGACTTCGCATGGACCGGGAGGGAAGCTCAGGGGCTCAACCTGAGAGAGTTGCAAAGACTGGCCCTAGCTAGAGCAGTGCTTCGTTGAATCTACTACCGGATCGGAATCGCGACCCACTGAGAAGATCCGGCGAGAAACACAGCGGGTGAGCTCTCACAATACAACCAGAGTAGCTCTTAAAATGATGGTCGCTAAATTGATATCCATGCTTAATGGGTAACATCATAGGTATAAGAATAACGACCAATTTGACTAGTTAGTATTTACTGACACCAAAGTGCGTTTTGTAAAATTTTCTGACAGAGATATTAGCTGGCAAGAAATGCAACTAATATCGTTTATAGGATAATTATTATGTTACCGAATATTAAAAAAAATTACCTATTTAAAAAGTTGAAGTTAACAAATTGCTCATACAAATTGTTATCTATTAAATTAGCGTCGAAAAAGATGCAAAAGCTTGTAATTTGTGAATTATTTAATTTTTTTATTAAACTCCAGATAGATTTTAAGAAAATCGTTCTAGAAAATCAACACAATCGTTGTAGATTAACTTAGATTGAGTTTCTTGGTCGTTTTTTGTTGTACGTTCATCCTAATAATCTTTTAGGAAGTAGCAACTTTACATCTTACATTATCATATTAACGCGGTGCTTTACATTAACGGCTTTATTGAAGAAGTAATGAGTTTAAGGATTAAGGTCAGGGCTTAGTGATGGACGGTAGCGGGGAAACGAGATTGCATGAACAAACGTCTGATTTCTCTGCGAGAGTGCTATGAAGTGACGGCTGGCCGGCGTCGCGCGCCGGTCGACCCAATTGGTCCAAAGTTGCCGGCCCGCCCAGGGGAGGGGGCAACGCACACAATCAAACCTTCACCTAAGATAATTTATTTTATGTTATACCGTTTGAATATTTTATATCTGTGTGAGTTTTTTCGGTCGGTATGCGTTCAGTGTGAAATATTCGCGCGATAAGAAACAAGAGGGGAACAGATCGATCGAGGACGTTGCGCTTTTTATTTGGTTACTTGATACGGTTATTGTCATTGTTTAATTGTGAATTAGCCTTAGAAAACTCTAAAAAATTAACGAGGCGTCCTATATTACAACTCAGACTTAATTTAACCTAGTATAGTGCTTACCTAATGCTTTAATGCCTATTACGAGAACTGCCCTATTTCTTTATTTGAAAACTAGAATAAGTTTAGTTGCTGAATATAAAGTTTAATATTAAGCAAAAATTCAATTACATTGTTGTTAAAATATCAATATCTCATTAATATGACTTGATAATGTGATTTGTTAATTGTAAAATAAAAATAAATTCTTCCCACAAAACATTTAACAAAGAAAACATTTCTAAAGACGATTATTTCACTACATTTGATACTCAAGAAGTAAAACGTATAAAGTACCTTCCCAATAGCCAAAACAATATATATTCAGAGACAGACAAGCACAGGTTTGTACGCAATACTAAGACAGTTGGGTGGAACACATTCAAAAGACGCTTAATACTGTCACCGCTAACATGTTTCCACCGCTAAAGCGACCCCAGTAATATAAGCTATCGAGTACACAACAGGCCACAGCCGTTGATTCGACAACTATAGCTACCAAACTACGGTTCACATGTATGAAAAAAATAAAAATTACAAATGTCGTGGTTACCTTTAATCAAATGCAAAGCTATCATTAAGTCGACGCTTCGGCAAACTCGCTCGCCGTGCGCATCGTCACTGTTAATTATCACAATATATATGTATAAAATGAAATAAAAGAGACCGCTTCGTACCGATACTAACATAAAAAAATACGAGAAAAGAAAGAGAAGCTTTAAAAAAGAAAGGAGTGCATCTACCCCCACTTCGGTTGCCCCCACCGCGTCGGGCCGCCCCTACGGCGGGTGCCACCCACCGCACCGCAAAAATCGAGAGCGTCGACGGCGGCGCGGGGTCAAACGGCGACGCTCGCGTGAAAAGAAGGAGCGGTGTGGCAGCGTCACGCACACAGAGACGAGCGTGCGTGTGCGCGCCGAGAGGGACGGCCGAGGGGAGAACGAGACGGCGGCGCCAATTACTATCACCTGGCGGGCAGCTACCGCATTACCCACTGCCGCCGCGCGCGCGACCACGCGCCCGCTGCAACACGCGGCTCGCTCCGCTCCTGACTGCCTCCCGAGCCTCAACCGCAATCAATATTCGCAACGCCGCGATACCAACTATTCTTCGATCACACGATACGTTCCCTCGCTCCGTGGATGCAACGCGGACGACCGTAGCCCGCGCCCGGGACTAGTGCCACCGCACTACAAAATGCGGCTGTGAAGTGTGTGCGGACAGTGACTTTGCGCGAAACGTGATTTATTTACAAGTTCTCCAACAAGTTTCAAAGTGAAAAATGACGTCGCAATTCGCCTTCAGAGGATCGCCCCCGAATCAGGTAATTCCGAAAATGTTTCCACTTTGTTTTGCTCGCAAAATAATTCGGAAATGGCAGAGCGATGGTACAATTCATTAAATTTTTTTAATGTTAAGTGGTATGTTTTCTGGTAACGGACACGGTATTATAATGCTCTCGGTCATTTTGTTTGTAATCAAATAAGACTAATAATAACTACAAGAAATTCTTAAATAAATAAAAGGAAATTGAACATACAATCGCTGCAAAGTCGCGTGGATTTTAACGGAATAGCATTGAATAATGAAACACGTTTTTTAATTACGGTAATTAATGAGATTCTATATTTTAATTAGCTTTATTAGGGCCCAGTTTATAGGCTAGCTTTATTTTTTATTCAATTACATTATACAAAACTTTAAATAAATCGGCAACCTTACACAGTAGTTAGTACCTTACTAGTCTAATTTTAATAATAAAAATATTTTAAATTAATAATACGATTTTTTATTTATGAAGACGTTCAGTTAGTTTAAAACGATAATGGTCACTACAATTTCGTCGTCATACTAAAGAAACACACATTGTTTGAATATGAATGAAGCATAAGTAAGTCTCCTTTTACATAGTAATTTATTGAGGATAATAAATTATCGATGTCGTAAGACTTTTAAACTTGTAAATTATTATAATAACGTTTCGATAGAGTGAATCGAGTGCCCGCCTCGATCGTAAGAATTAAACTTACATTACAACTTTCGGTTAAAAAAACTTAAAACCAATTCTGGATATTTAATTGTCTAACGCCATTGCTTAATGTTGTTAGTATAGAATTGTGTTTACATCATTTATGATATTGTCATGGCTATACAACAATACGGATAATCAGCTCTTAAAGTGCTTACAGTCTTAGTCCTATTCAGAAATTATTTATACAAATCGTTATTGTATTTAACGTAATGAATAGTATTTTTAACGTTTACGAAAGATATGAAGACAAATGACAGTCTGCATTTAAATATAAAACAGTTCATATCAAAATAAAATAACATTTTGTTTTACGATACAATACTGCGTAAGTGTTATTTAGTTACTGTCGTTTTTTTAATTAAAATTTAAATCTAAAACCTTTTAAAACGAAATGTATTAAACCAAATCAAATCGATTGTATGTTAAAAATAATTTTCATTTTGTTCACTTTTTCAGTTCAATATACACGTAATCTGATAATAAGGGATTGTAGACAAAGTAATGGCCTAATTTAAGACAAGCTACATTTTTTTTCGACTCTATAATGCGTTCGTGAACATAATTCCACTGGCCCGTGAATCGGATGTTAATTTGATTCAAATACTCAAAAAAGGTTCCGTCTGAATAGTTACAGTTTGTGGATAGCGTCACTTTAATATAAATTCGAAAATTCTCAACATTAGAGATACAAGGGTGACCATAATTTAAAATTTTCAAATACAATTACAATTACTTACAATTACAAATGCATTTACAATTGTAACGTCTCATACACATGCGACAGTTTGCTGAATGCAATAATTTATTTACAAAATATTTATACGGGCAGACAAAATGACTAGATATATACAACTGTCGAAAAGCTGTTTTAACAAAATGTGCATCTGATATAAAAAAAAAATACATGCGATAAAAACCAGAATATATATCAGCGGATCTTTTATTTTCAGTGTACTTAATATTTGTTTTTCAATGAATTATTTGAATATTATTTAAGGTACGAGAGTTAATTAACGTAACTGCATATATTTTTCCGACTCTTACTTCTTTACGTTAAAAACTGTATCATGTTCAAAAAGCACCAAGTAAAGAATTCTAAGCAAATTAATTTGCAAGTTATTAAAAACAACACAACCGATTTTTCCTTCATAATAATAATAATATCCAATAATTTAGTTGATGACAAATCTGTTCCCACAACCTTGCGAATATAGCATTTACTATTACTAAGTTAAGTAGTGTTAATGTAATTAGTTTGTTAATGTAGTTAATGTAATTGTAATGTAATTAGTTTAATTTTTTGGAAACTCACTACGTCAAAATAGTAGCCAAATATTTTTAAAACGAATACTCGTTTACAGACCTAACTTAAATAATTCAGTGCAATCAACAACATTATAACTGCACGTGACTATTCTAGTATTAGATAATAATAATAGATCAGTTGTAAACTTATTTACAATGGTAAGTGATAAGTCGACTTGCTAAACTTGTTTTTTTTTTGTAACTCTATTAAACTAATTGGTTTCTCTATCGAGTGTCATAAAATGTAGTATTTCAAACGACAGAATTGATGGAATAGAGTGATGTGCGTGGTGCTATTAAATAAAAATAGCTTCGTGAACAAATGATGAAAGGCGATCGCATGCAGCAGAGATGCGAATGTTGCGATGGATGTGTGGAATAACGAGAATGGATAGAATACGAAATGAATATGTTAGAGGAAGTCTGAAAGTGGCACCTGTGACAGAGAAGCTGAGAAGTGCGCGTTTGGGATGGTATGGACATGTGATGAGACGAAATGAAAATGAGGTTGGTAAGAGAGTGTTAACTATGAATGTGGAAGGATATAGTGGAAGAGGTAGACCTAAGAAATTGATGGATTGCGTGAAAGATGATATGTGTAGGAGGGGAGTGAGCGAAGAAATGGTATATGATAGAGGAGTATGGAAGGACAGCACATGTTGCGCCGACCCTAGGTGACTGGGAGAAGAGCAGGAGAATGATGAGCTTCGTGATCAAACGAAAAAGAGTTATTAGTTTTGACTGTTACTAATAAATAATACTTTTGTTATTGAGTAGGTACTCTCGAGTAGGTACATACAGTTCGAGAACTTTGTAACAAATTAAAAATGTTTCCTTATCTTAACATTCGAAATTCGTTATACGATATTATTACACTTTAATCGTTCTAAAACAGTAATAGACAAATTCGTATTCAAGAGAAACGAGTTTATTATAATTTTAGCGTTTTAGTCACTGATAAGAGGCTGTTAATATATTTTAAATATTGAATACCGCATTATTAGTAGTAGTTTATTCCGATTTTTTTTTTAAAAAACCAATCAAAATTGAGTATTGTGAAATGAACAAAAAAAATTCGCGGTAGCATTTTAAATATGGCAGGATACTTTGGGCACAGGCAGGTCACCCACTAGCGGCCTGCTCCGACTCCGTTCGGGTCGACACGCGATTGAAAGACTATTTTAGGTAATTTTTTTACACCTTGGGTTGTTACATTATTGGAGTTTCAGTAAGGATCCCTAATTTTTTCTAAAAAGATTATTATAGCCTATGTCACTCGGGAATAGTGTAGCTTTCAAACAGTGAAAGAATTTTTCAAATCGGTTCAGTAGTTTCGGAGCCTATTCGATACAAACAAACAAATCTTTCCTCTTTATAATATTAGTATAGATTTTTTTACACCTTGGGTTACATTATTAGTGTTTTAATAAGGATCCCTAATTTCTTCAAAAAAGATTATAGCCTATGTCACTCGGGAATAGTGTAGCTTCCAAACAGTGAAAGAGTTTTTCAAATCGGTTCAGTAGTTTCGGAGCCTATTCAATACAAACAAACAAATCTTTCCTCTTTATAATATTAGTATAGATTTCTGCGTCTCAAGAACATTGGCGACGTTTACTATGTCTGAGCCTACTTGTCAGTGAGCCGTGAAACGGAAAATTAAAACAAATATATTTCAGGTGTACATTTTTTATTTTATAATACTATTTATATCTAATTTAAGCAATAAATAAAAACTCTTCTTTTATTAATTTCCTTGATCAATCACAATTTCAAGAACCTTTCTAAATTTCGTGCCACCGACGCTCTGTTCTTTTAAGAACTACCCTAGCCGTTGTAATTATAACGCGGTTGAAAACAAAATGTCATTAGAATTGATGGTTCGAACAACTTAGCATATCCAAAGGAAATCGTAAACTTGAAATAGCCGAGAAGCACATTTAACAGTTTGTAACTTGTAAAACTCTTTTAACTAGTGATCCCGCAGTAGTCGAAATTCGACTATAACTAATTGAAATTGTAAGTTTGTACACTATTATGATTCTATTTTCAAAGACTATTATTCTATAATCACAAATTTTGTCAAATTAATAAAGACAAACAATATTTAATTTAATCTCAATTTGATCACAGACGTCAAGAACAAAGGTTGACATTAATAAATAATATGCATGCGTGTGTGCGTCAAATACATGGTATGTAGTGTGTGTAATGTTTTCTTTATTGATTTAATGTATATTTTATGCATTATTTTAAAAAAAATATTAGCATTGTGCACTTCTTCTCTGTATTCTCTATAAGTGTGGAAAATTTCGTACTCCTCCTTCCGCGCAATTTTCGTAAAAAGGGATACAAAGTTTTTGCTTCACGTGTTAATATATAGATATATCGTTTACTTTTCAAACTTTGTATTCACAAAGACATTTTTTGAGTGGGAGTTTGTGACTGATAATATCTAAGTACGCTTCATTGAGATAAGCGGATGAACGAAACGCGCGCTAGATAATAAACGATGGTAAATTAGGGGTGTATTGTGAGCGAGCACGATACAACTCTCGTCTGACTCTGCCGTGAAACTAGTAACGGTGTTAGAGTGGCCCAAAGATCTGTTTCTTTAAGACGTGCGACAATCATCACGTCAATATCACTGTAGGCGCTGGTAATCGCTCTATCGTCGGTCAAAATTTGCTACTCATTTTGAAAATAGAACAGATTGGCCTACAAAATAATGGATTTTACGTTTTGAAGACGCAACGATACACGAACTGAAGCAAAATTTAATGATGCTTCAATTAAAAACTACGTGCCTCAAGTATTAAATTAATTTAAATTAGACTAATTAATGTAACGAATAAAACTATTGGCAAACATATAAAAATCATTCAACTAGATTAAAACGATAAAAACAAGATATCTATTTAATTATAAATCACCTATAGGTAGTTAGTGAATTAATGTTTTGCTTCTTCGGTCGGGTCTGGTTACCC